GCGGAAGGGCGGGAGGTGAGGAGCGGCGACCAGCGGCAGCAGCGGGTAAGGAGCGGCAGCAGGCAACCAGCGGAACGTTCGGTGGCATGGGACAAGACAGCTGGGGGAGCGTGGCAGAGTCATAAGGTGCCCCCTATCTATCCTCCCACCCCCATTTCTACCCAGATTCGGAGGTGAAACCCTGTGGGTGAACTTTGGGACTCTGGGTGGCATGGACCAGGGACAGAGACTTTTGGGGTGTCGGACTCTTTGGACTTCAGGTGATTCTTGGCTGGGGGAGGGGAATTAGCTCATGTTTGGATTATGAACTCTGTTTGTGGTGTTTTCCCCAAGTTAATGCCGTATGACTTCTCTCTCTGTTTCATTAAATGTTTCTTTCCTACACTCAGACTCAGTGCTTGCGAGTGGGGAAGCATTGCCTCTCAGAGGCATCCAGGGGTGTGTGAATTTCCCAGATTACTGGGTGGGGGCTTGAGCTAGTTCTATGTGAGATGGACCCCAAGATATTGAACCCAGCCCTGGTTACTGCCAGGCCTACCCGGCAGAAGGGTTACAGAGATGGACCCAAGATATTGAACCCAGCCCTGGTTACTGCCAGGCCTACCTGGCAGAAGGGTTACATGTAGAAAGAATGCAATAGCAGTGTGGACATAAGAGTAGTTTTTCAGGAAAAACAGCCATTTTTCCAGAAAAAATTCTGCAGTGTAGACATACCCTGCCATTCAGTAGGTGTGATTGTTCCATGTTTATTTAGTGTAGCTGTTTAGGCTACTTGGATTCCTTTCTAATCTCTGTCTGGCAGACATAATTAATCTAGCCTGGTCAATTTGTAATGCATTTGAAACTTTAATTAGCATATCCTAATACAGCAAATATCTTATAAAATAGAAGGTAAAATCAATGATTTCTCTATTGACTGTCTTTGTATTGATTAGTGCAGTTTGATAACTTATGTAGGTAACATGACTTCCCAGTGTATCCCAGGGGGCAATCACAGATTCCATTTTCTTTGTTACATTCCCCTCCATTCTCACAGGGCTCACAGAAGAACTGACAGTCTACTCCCCACAGACCATCAGGGCAATCTATAAGAAACAAGAAAGAAGAGCACTGAACCATTTGTTATCTCAAGACAGTTGCAGATTTCTGCTGTTACTGAAGAGAATTTAAAAAGTAAATAAAGCTGTGTTGGAAAGAGACTGTATATATTATCTCTGTGAATAGATAGCTTTTCTGTAACAACCTCCCCCCCCCCAAGAAATCAACACAATATACCATTTCTCTATTTGAGAAAACATCTAAATAGAGAAACAAAGACTCACTTCCAAATTCCATCACAAAGGTCTGTATTTCTGAGAGATATACAATACAATAACATTGGGATTGGTTTGGGTGTACTTAAGAGTAGGTTACATAGCACAGAAGAGGAAAAAGGGAACCTCAGTTAGAGAGATTTTTGAGAAAAAACACAGCTACAGAGTGGCACACTATATTTCCAGTGATGGAAAGAGGCCAAAGTCAGAAATGAAGAAGCTAGGTAGGGAACCAAGCTTTAGAAAACAGTATAGTGGTTCCTGTTTGAGATTTGGTTTAGGCTGATTTCTAAATTTCCAATTTTCTCTTCTCTATGCATAGAAAAGACACTGCAGTGCTCTCTGGCCTTCTCTTTCAGTGAACATTTGTGAAACATGAGGAATCCAAGCAGGGGTAAACAAATCTCAGAATGGTACCTATTGTTTGCCTGGGGAAGTCCATCAGAAAATGAAAAATGGGGATGTGTGTGAAATAATTTTGTATATCTGCACTTCTTGACACTGTTGTAACACTTTCCGTCTGAGGATATTAACTTGCTTTACCAATATTAATGCCCAGCACCCCCATGAGGTTTATCATTATCCCCATTGCATGAGGTGGAAATGAAGGCACACGAAGTCGTCTTTGACTGGGATAGCAGCAGAACCCAGATTTCCCAGCTTCTCATCCTCTCATTAGTCATAAGGCCATATTGCTTATTCATGAGGCAGCAGCTCAGCTACTCCCAGTCGAGGGAGTAGATGCTCTCATTATGAAGGCAACAGCCAAGGCCAGGAGTAACAAATGGAAGCAGAGTTTCCAATAACTGTTCTCAGGGTATGGCTACACTATGGGATTTTTTAAAAGAAAGTATGCAAATGGCGCTCGTTTTACAAGGAATAAAGGGGCTTCTGAAAGTGGGATTTTTCCCGACATTTGGCCCCGTGTAGATGGGCCAAATGTTGGAAAATCCTCTTCCGGAAAAAAAAAGGAAGAAGATATGCAAATGTGAGCGCAATTTACACAACATCTTCGAAAACCCCCTCCTCCTACAGTGTAGCCTTACCCTCAGTGGCAGCAGTTTCATGTTCCTGCCCTTTCCTTGTCTGTTCACCTTGTTTCTCTCTCCCTCCCACTACTGAGGTTATCTCCCCTTCTTCCCTTTGGTTCCCTCATCTGTTCCCCTGCTCCATTTGCCTTACTGGTTTCAGGATGGCTAAAGAGGATGCCCAGCCCCCTTTCCATATTTTCTCTGAGGTCTGCATTTCTAGCCTGGTGCTCCCTTAGCAGCTGCATAAGCAACAGATATGAACCAGGCAAGAAGCACCATGAACACAGCAGCACAGACCTGCTGACAGCTTGACACTTCGGTCTTGTACAACTGCCCTGATGCCCTTGTTTAGCACCAGCCCTGCCCCTTACACAAATCACCATTACAATCGGTATCTCTGTTGTCAGTCTGAGCAGAGACAATGGAATGAATGGGCAGGGTGACTGATTTAGCTCCTACCACCTTGGAATGGATTCCACTGAGTCTGCGTGAAGACCATATGGATATATGAACTTGTCTACTCTGCAGACAGGGGGTGTCACATTGTGTCAGGTTTTATGGACTTCTTCTCAGTCTTCCCATTCCCTATAGGTTAAGGTTTGAACTTTCCTGTGCAATAATCTTTCTGAGTCACATACATATCTTGATCACATGCAGCACCTGTTTTGCCAGCAGGGCACATACACTGCCCAGTCTTTGAGTTGCATGGTGCTCCTTCACAATCACAGCTCTGCCTGCAGTTCACACCAAACTTCTCTGGACTACAGGCTGTTCAAAAGACCTCCTTGCAGGAGGCATAAGGGATCTGTCGGAAAGGCTTTCTTTCTCAACAGATACCCCTCCAGACTGCCACTTTTTGCCGACAAAGTGCTGAGTCGGCAAACGCGGTGGTCATTTTTATGCAAATTAGGCGCGGGATATGCCAACAGAGGGATGCAGTCTAGACATACCCTATGACGTTACTGTGTTAACTGTCCACAGATGATTATGAAGACACCCAAATGTGACCATAGAATACATTTTCTTGTGCTTTATCAACAAAAACTACAAAGGGAGGAATTAAAAAGCTGCAAAACTGTTATAGTAACACACTGCTGCAATAATTCACAAAAAGTTCTGCTGCCTCAAAATACAGCCTTGGGCTCTAAGATCACTGTCTGTGTAAAAAAAAAAAAAAAAAAAAAAAATCCCTGGGATAAAATCTTGACTCTGTTGAAATCTTGACTTCAGTGACGTCAGATTTTCATCCCAAGTGCCAGTTTCTCAGGTTAAAACACCTACCGGTAGATAGATTCTACCCTCATTCATACTCCTGCAACCTCAGTGAAGCCAAATATCCACTTGGCTCTGCAGTAGGAAAGAGAGAGAGAAACAACTGGCAGGGTTCATTAGAGTTTGGTGCAATGCAAGACAGCATGTGACAGGAGCACTGAGATGTAATAAATAAAAACAGACTTTCCCAAAAGAAAAGGATCAGTGTTAGATTATACTTTTCTGGCACTTGTTCCCTTGGTAACCTGGTTTGCAGGTGCAAGATCCATTCCTGGCACTGCATGCCAGAGTGTTCTCCTTGATATACTGACATTCTTCTGAACAACCAGCTCAAAGTCCATGTGGGAAAAACTGCAACCAGATGAAATGAAACTTTGCATTTACACATGATTTACTTTAGAATGTCCATCCACAGAGCTGCAAGGAATGCTACTGCTGTAAAACAAAATGTGCATTACACTTCTAAGAAAATAGGTCATTCACAGGCCCTTAAGTGTGTACACATAAGAATATGTGTGTGTAAAATACTGTTTACATTACTTCTTGTAGTAATTAACTCTGTAATAATCAGAAATGTTCAAAAGTAGTTAGTCAAATTGTTTTGAAAAAGAAAACTTATTTTGAGTCAAAATGGTCTTTTCCCCCTAAAAATGAAAGTTTTAATGAAAGAGTTATCCCCCCCCCATTTTTCTATTTTTTTAAACAAAAAACTTTAAAATGGCAGTCTTTATTTTCCCTTTTGGTCTTCTCCACTTTCAGTAACTGCTCATCTTCTCTTTTCACATCTGTTCTGTTATAATCACTGTTCTTTTTCTTCTTCACATGTGTGTTCCATCATTGTATTTCTCTGCTCTTTTTTACATTCAGTTTTAAGTCTTAATTATTTTGTGTTTGTTAAGGTCTTAGCCACTGGAACTTTCTTCCTTCTCTGAGTTCAGGTACTGGTCACTGTACTTTTCATCAAGTTTTTGACTACTGGGTACTATGCTTCTCTTCTCTTTCCTGAGCTCAGTCACTGCCTTTCTTCTTTTCCTTCGTTCAGTTGCTGATCTTTGTTTTTCGGGATTTGGTTTTTTGGGGCATTGAAGAGCCAGCTTTGTTTTGTCAATGTAGTGATGTGGTAAGAGAAAAAAAGCCTTTATTTTAGTACAATTCTTATTTTGAAAATGAAAAATCACTAAACATTTGAAATGGGAAAAATGGTTCTGTTTTGAAAACCAATAGATGAAATAATGAAAGTTTCCAATAAATATTTTTTTACTTTTCTACCAGCTCTAGTTCCAGCTCCAGCCAAACCTGAGCCCTGGCCCACGTGCTAATCCTGCCCCAATGCCCAACCCAACCCTAACTGTGGCCTGTCAAATAGCCCAGCCCAGCAACCACCAGCCAGCTCAACCCTAAACCCAGTCACCAAATAGCACTAATTCTAACTCAGCCATGTACATGAGGTGGCCCCATCCCTATTAAGAACATAAGAACATAAGAATGGCCATACTGGGTCAGACCAAAGGTCCATCTAGCCCAGTATCCTGTCTGCCGACAGTGGCCAGCACCAGGTGCCCCAGAGAGGGTGGACCGAAGACAATGATCAAGCGATTTGTCTCCTGCCATCCCTCTCCAGCCTCTGACAAACAGAGGCCAAGGACACCATTTTATCCCCTGGCTAATAGCCTTTTCTGGACCTAACCTCCATGAAATTATCTAGCTTCTCTTTAAACTCTATTATAGTCCTAGCCTTCACAGCCTCCTCTGGCAAGGATTTCCACAGGTTGACTACACGCTGTGTGAAGAAGAACTTTCTTTTATTAGTTTTAAACCTGCTACCCATTAATTTCATTTGGTCTCCTCTAGTTCTTCTATTTAGGGAACTAATAAATAACTTTTCTTTATCGGCCCTCTCCACACCACTCATGATTTTATAGACCTCTATCATATTTCATTTGGTCTCCTCTAGTTCTTCTATTTAGGGAACTAATAAATAACTTTTCTTTATCGGCCCTCTCCACACCACTCATGATTTTATAGACCTCTATCATATCCCCCCTCAGTCTCCTCTTTTCTAAACTGAAAAGTCCCAGTCTCTTTAGCCTCTCCTCATATGGGACCCGTTCCAAACCCCTAATCATTTTAGTTG